ATCAGCGTTGCCCCCACCTCGGCCATAGATCCAGCGCGGTGCCCAAAGCTCTGCTCGTGCTGACACATGGCCGCTTGAAGCTATAGACGGACGGAGAGGGGGCACTGATAAGGGACGAGTCTATCCCCTCGCCCCGGATCTTTAAGGACTATGCCTCCTAGGGACGGTTTCATATTCTACCATTTCAAACCCAACAATCATGGTTTTAGGGACTACCATCCCAGTGAGCCCCTTGACCAGACGCACGCTAGGAGTATCCGAGAGACTCTCCCGTGCGCTTGTGGCTCGGCTTTCACGTCTTTCAACCTTCATGATATTAGCAACACCTATGGTCTTAGAAAGAAGGAACCAAACCACCTAGGCAATAGGGCAAAAGAAAAACAAGTGAGAGATTGTTTCTTCTTATCACAAAAAATAACACTTTGGACACCTAATTCAGTTTTTTCGGCCATGTTACCTTTTTTTTAAGAATTGCATTATTTTGAAGGAACCACACAAAGATCTTTACCTTAGGAGGAACTTTTCGTTTCCAAATCATGTTGTGGTTTAGACCTACACCATTCGATGTTAAGGCATTATAAAGAGATTTTACTGAAAACTTGACATTTTTATCCAAATTCCAGCTAATCAAATCCTCATCCTCATACAGAGCAAAGTCATTAACCTCCAACGTCTTAGCTCATAATATAGCCATCTTCTAAAAGAAAGTAGGAAGTTCAAATTCTTATCTCATAATATGGCCTCATCCGATATTTCTTGTTGTTCACATAAACAAAAAAATGACAGTGTAGATTTTGCATCATACATACAAGGACCTCTCCAAAAGCGTGTATTGCAACAGTTTATGATCAATACTTTCTTTCCTTATAAGTAGATATTCTTAATCTTAAGCAAGTTAGCACAGACAGGAGAACCATTCCGTCTACGATTCATAGTACAGATAGACTGATTCACAAGGTACTTTTGCTTTACAATATCCTGCCAAATTCCTTTTTTTCCTTTTATTTAAGTCTCCACCGCCATTTTCACAAAATTCTAATATTTAATTTTCTTATATTCTTAATACCCAGACCGCCTTTCGTCTTACTCTTGTAGGTGTTGGTCCATTTGATCAAATGGTATTTTCTTCTTCCGCTGCCTCCTTGTCAGAAAAAAAAAAGTCTTCTTTGTTCAAGTTTTCAATAACCGATTTTGTGAAGCAAAAAAAAAATGACAGATAGTAAACCGGGGTGTTTGTAAGGCTGGAATTAATAAGCGTGGTCCTTTATGCATGAACATAGTCCCTCCTTTTCGTATGTCTGTCTGTATCTGTATGAATGTTTTTGACATTTTTCTCCTCCGGAGGTAGCCAATACGAAGCCTACCTATGCTGTCACAGAATGGGCCGCCACCCAATGGGCCTGACTGAGGTCTCTTAACGCGGGGCGGTAGTAGTTCTTTTTGCAACTCGAGGCCCAGCAAACACTGAGCGGATATATATGCTGTGAAGTAGTAACCCTAACCGAAGCCCCCGCCTGCCACACACGGGAATAACCTGTTGGGCTACCGCCGCCGCCGCCGTCGTCCTTAGCTGATATCATCGCCGGCGAAGAGCGCCCCAGGTATTCCCAACCCCCCTTCTCTTTCCTGTCCGCTGTGCAAAACGGAATTCTCAAACTCTTAACCTCAAGCTATCTGGCTTTTTTATGCCTACTAGCTTCTAACTTTCTGCAAAAATTATCGGTCCCTTTACTAGATCCGCCGCCCCTGCTATGGAGCCCGCGGTGAACCCGAAGGCGTACCCGCTCGCTGATGCGCAGCTGACGATGGGTATCCTCGATATCATCCAGCAGGCCGCCAACTACAAGCAGCTCAAGAAGGGAGCTAACGAAGGTACCGGACCAATCCCTTGTGCACGTCTCCTGGTCTCTACTCTGTTAATTCTGGGGCTTTCTTATTCAATTTGTGTCTTGTGTGTTTGCGTGCAGCGACCAAGACCCTGAACAGGGGGATATCGGAGTTCGTAGTGATGGCGGCGGACACGGAGCCGCTCGAGATCCTGCTCCACCTCCCCTTGCTAGCTGAGGATAAGGTACTGATTATTTGCCGTTTCCCCTTTTGTTTTGTTTCGCGTACACTAGTGCTTTATATAAAAAAATCATATATAATGATAGAATTAAAAAAAATATCTCTTGAAATAGAACATATATAAATTAATAAGTCTATTTGGCAATCTAATCATGGTATGCTCATAACCTCAACCAGGGCCAAGGGTAGGCCACTTATGTTAAAAACGGAACTGAAGCGCATGGCACCATATTCATTATGTTGGCTTGTTCGAGTAGAATGTCACCGAGGAACTTTACACTTGCACAAAATGCATATCATCTGCAGGAAAAAAAATCCACATTAGTTATTTCTTGAGCAACTATATGTCGTTTTAGTGACTTGGGGCTCTTGGTGGGTTTCAACTCTAGCCTACCCCAACTTGCTTGGACTGAAAGGCTATGTTGTTGTTGTTGTTGTAACTATATGTCGTTTTATCAGCTCAAATTTACTTTCAGAAAAATAAATTTGACATTGCACAAGAGTTAGTAGCCGCTGACAATGGAATCTAAAATAGTTCATCCTATACACAGTATCGATTCCTAACCCTTCACCTTTCTGCTGCTGCTAGCCGATTCCATGCTTGTAGGAATACATTAGTAGAACTCAGGTTCCAACCTGCTGCCTGCAGCTACGGTGCTTTTCCAGCTAGCACAAATCAGTAGCTATACAAAAAAAAAAAAAAAATCAGGCTACTCAAGAAAAGAACGTGTTGTTAAGATACTTTCCATTTTTTATCCAGAATATCATAACAGGTTAGAAAGACCCCGGATCTAGGTATTCATATTGAGTATGTTTATTTACTACCAATTTGCTATTTTACTATTCTATAAAAATATTTGCTCATGCATTCCTAGAAAGTTTTAGTTTAAGGAGTGGTAAAAAATTTGGTGGCCGTGACTGTTTGTTACATGTAAATCAATTATAAGCTGAACCGACAACAGGCAAAACACACAGATGGACGTTTCAAGGAAAATAGATATCCATACCAGAGGTTAATATACATTAGACAAGGATCTGGTTCACCTAAATATGGGCACATAGCAATAGCATCCAATGTAAAGCATGCATCTAAGGCGTCGTTAAAGCCTACAAGGTACTATGAGAACTGATAATGGACCTGTTCTTTGATCTTAAGTTGCGCTTCAAATCAATTGCCCTTTTCTTCCTCGGCTTTGAAATTTGTATTATTTAAAGCATAGCCAACTGGAACACCATAGGATCTAGAGTTACCAGCATCCACATCCTACAGTAGTTTAGGTAAATAACGATATGAACCCAAATAATCGGAGAAGCTATTTGAATGTCATCAGAAACACAAGGTGTCACAATATAACCCAAAAATCAATGATACAAAAACTGGCTGAGAGGAATAGCTCACCGTAATTGTGTTCTTTTCCAATTCTGAGTCCCTTCCCTCTGGTGCTTTTAGTTAGTTCTACATGCTTAGTATACATCACTTCTGTTAGCAGGCTTCTTAATGAATAAGGCAACATTCACCATTGGCTAATAAATTTGCCCTATGCTATTTGCAGAATGTGCCATATGTATTTGTTCCATCGAAACAAGCTCTTGGCCGTGCTTGTGGCGTGACTAGGCCGGTCATTGCTTGCTCAGTGACCAGCAATGAGGGTAGCCAGCTGAAACAACAGATACAGGGTCTCAAGGTACTTAATATTCTGTCTTGTAGTTGTTAATACTTGATATTTTGGTATTTATATATATGCATATTATGATTCTGTAATATTTATATGCTGTTTAATAGTCTTTCTTATCATGTTGTTGTATGCATATCTCTGTAGATTAATCAAATTTAATGAATTGCAGGACTCTATTGAGAAGCTTCTCATCTGATTTACCAAAGACCTTTCAGTGTGATGGGCCTCGGGGATACATTTTTCAGAGGCTTGGACTGGTGATGGTGTCTTGTTTACTAGATCTTATGCTTTCCAAACTATGTTTGAACACCGTTAGGTCGACCCTACTTGAATTGTGCTGTGTCTTTATATTTGTGACTGGTCATGTATTCTCAAGATGCCTCTGCATCCTGCTGGCTTGGTTTCTGTTGAGATTCTGACCATCATTGTAGCGGTTTGCAACTTCCATGTGACCACTTGCAGCACAAATAAAATCGTAGTGATGTTCAGTTTGGCCCTGTTCACTTATAATCCGTATAATCCGTACTTTTTAGCTTGTTTTTTAAGCTAGAATATTGTTTTTCTCTCACAACCAATCAGCCGGAACAGTGTTTCGGCTTTTTTTTCAGCGAAGCGAACGGGGCCTGTCTCAAGTTTTTTGGGATACTACTTGTGCATATTTTCTGCCAATGCTGTATTAAATTGTTTTAACTTGTTCTAATACTTGGATTTTTGTGGTTAAAATGTTGGCCTTCTTTTACGCTGCATATCCTCTAAGTCAGTCGTAGTCGGGGTTCTACGTCTTGTATGTGTTACCAGCAAACGTGCCCGTGTTACTTTGGCATGGAATCCAATAATTAGAAACCGTGCTGCGGTATTGGTGTGGTAGTTATGATATAGTTCGTTTTTTTATATTCTAGCTATCTTTGCGTGCATTGTTATTATATTATTATAGGCACCACATACAACAGTTAAGAGAAACAACACAAGGATATATGACATGGCACTAGCAGCTTTTCATAAAAACGACATGATACAATGGATTAGGACAAAACACAGTTTTATTCCAAACATAGGATACGGCTACTGAACTACTAGCTCTATGACTCATCCTAACCAATTGGAATGCCACCAAAGGCACCAAGCACGCTGCACGCGCCAGCCAACAACAAAAAAGACCCGATCTAGCTAGCAATTTAGTCCTAAATCCTAATCCTGCGCGCGCGCGCGCGAATGCATCCAGCTGCCAGCGGAGATGGCGAATGGGCGGCCCTCCTCTTACGGCTCGGCGGCGGCCGGCTCGGTCTCGCGCGACATCTCCTCGAGTGACTTGCCCTTGGGCTCCGGCACCAGCAACGTGAGCATGAACCCCAGGAAGCTGCACCAGGCGAGCAGCAGCAGCGAGTTGCGCACGCCGATGCCCGGCGGGTAACCGTGCGCCGTCTTGGCCGGGTCCTGGCTCTGCGCCAGGTACAGGAACCCGAAGGAGCCGATGATGGCGCTCACCTTGCCCGACGCCGCCGAGATGCCGTGGCACGTCGCGCGGAGCCGCGCCGGGTAGATCTCCGCGGGCACGATGAAGGTCGTGGCGTTGGGCCCGAAGTTTGGGAAGAAGAAGGTGAGCGCGTACATCACCACGAACCCCGTCTGGTTGCCGGGGCGCGTCCACTGGCGGTACGGCACGGCCAGCCCCAGCATGAAGGTCGCCGTCATGAGGAAGCCCACCGCCTGGATCGCGAACCGCCCCACCACGTCGATGAACGCCACCGTGAACCAGTACCCGGGCACCGTGCCGCACAGCGCGATCAGCGTCTGCGCGTGCGCGATGTGGAACAGCTCGTCCAGCGCCGCTCATCGTCTCCGCCGCCGGGATCCACCCCACTGCGCTGAAGATGTCCTTCTGGAACAGGTTCTGCGAGTAGTAGGCGATGTCCAGGAGGAGCCTGAGTAGGTAATGTAGTCGTGGTCATGGCGCCATAACGACGTGGCCACTGGGGTCGGAGTCGGGAAGCCGTGCAGGCACGATCAAGTGGCGGCGACGAAGATGATGTCGCTTCCCAAGTCTTACGGCGCGCCCTCTACATCGGCTTATGGATAGAAAAACCGGTGGGACGCTGGCGGCAGCGGTGAACCTCCTATCTTGTGCCCCTAGCCCCCACCATCTTTTTATGGCGTTGCGCGATGGGAGCTCATCAGACATAACATTTGTATCCTCGACTATTTGAGAGTACTTGCTCTTTCTTACTCAGCACGAGCCCTATGATACTTTACAAAATTGCAAGATATTTTCAACTCCATTCCAGTGATCTATATCTGGACTGGACTTCTACCAAAATATTCCGGATACGTAAACTACGTCATGGTAAGTTCTTACTTGTACTTGTACACTCATCAAGCTTCCAACGGCTAAAGCATATGGAACCATGTTCATTTGATCGATCTCATATTGGTTCCTGAAACATTTAAAGTTCTCAAATCTATTACCCTTAACTATAGTAGCAGGCGTAGGTTTACTCGTATGTATACTTTATTTCTTTAGAATCTTTTCTAAGTATGTCTTTGTGATAGTTCTAATACCCCATTTTCTTTTATCTCGGTGAATTTCGATTCTTAGAACCAATGATGCTTCACCAAGATCATTCACATTTAAACTTGAGAACAAAACTTTTTCTCCAATGACAAATTAACATCACTACTAGTGAGTAGAATGTCATCTAATCACAGGATATGGAAAATGAATTTTTCTTTCTTGAACTTCGCATAAACGATATTGTCCTTATCATTTTCTTTAAAACCCAAACTTTCTTATCGTTCCATCAACTTCAAATACTACTGTCTAGAGACTTGTTTTAACCCATAAATAGATTTCTAAAGACGACATCCCATACGTTCTTTTTCTTTTACAACAAAATATTTGGGTTGTGCCATATAAACGTTTTCATACAATTCCCCGTTGAGGATTGACGTCTTTACATCCATCTGATGTAACTCTAAATCGTAATATGCCAATAACACCATTATGATTCTAAAAGAATTCTTACATAAGACTGGAGAGAAAACTCTCATCGTAATCTATTCATTCTCTTTGCGTAAAGCCTTTTGTTACAAGTCATGCTTTATATCTTTCCATATTCCCTTTGGAGTCACATTTTATCTTGTAGACCCTTTTCATAGCCAACTGTTTTGGCTCCATTAGGAATTTCTTAAGTCCCAAACATTATTGGTATTCATCGAATTTATTTTAACTTCGATAGCTTCTTGCCATTCAAATGAATAAACGCTTCTCATGGCATCTTCAAATGAGGTGGGATCACCCTCTATTTGAATTTCTTCACTAACATAGACTTCATAGTCATCAGAAAAACTGGTTTACTAATTTTTTAAGACCTTCTGAGGCCTCAGCTACTGGCACTTTCATGTGGGGCTGTTGTTGCTCTTTATTGCCAAGAGACAATTGATTCTACAGGCTCCTGTATCACAAGATCATTGTTTACATTATTTATCTTCTTCGAAGAGCCAACAACAGGTGTTGTATAAGTCATACAACATCAACAGGTATCGAGAAATTCGTTGTTTTGAATCAGTGAAGTGGGCACGCAGTCCCGCTTATCTTCAAGTCATATGTCTCTACATAACGTGCTCCCCCAGATCGTTCTATCTTTTATAACGATAGTGTATCTTCTAATTTCTTATTTGGGTTCAATCTGTTAAAACCTTATATGACGCTTTAAGCACCGCTTTAATATCTTTGATAGTGATTACGCTATCTTCCTCTCGGAACTTTAAAAAATTCAGAAATTTAGCTGTTTCTCTGTTTAGGGGTATCATTGTTGTGACTGTTGTACTCCTCCAACGGCCGCATTCATCTTAATTAATCTTTATCTCGCTCTTAATGAATAATATCTTTCTTAATTGATCTTTATCTCACTCTTAATGAAGAGTATTTTTTTAATTGGTCTTAATATCCCCCATCGAAATATGGCATGAACTTTACTGCCATAATTTCGAGAACTATTAAAAAAAATCTGTGAACGAGGAGACACTTATAACTTACTTTATTCACATGATTATGTCATGTAAATAAAGTTATTTCTTGATCCGTTTAGTAGTACACTTTCTTTATTTCACTTTAAGAACTCAACGAGATCTTTCATTAGCAGTACTTTTGCAAGTCACGCTTGCATCTTTTTCTTGTCTTTTGATTAGTATTAATCACGATGGTGTATTTCTATTGTGCCATGATTAATACTAGGATAGCATAAGAGCTACCCAAACTTCTCTCGCTATGCGTGATACAAAAATATATGAGTCATCATAAAACTTCTACCGCCATGCAGGATTAACTAGCATAAGTACTATGCCAAACTTCTCCCTATGCGGGATAAATCTATATATAAATTACCATAACAAAAAATTTAGTCATGATAACTAAAACATTCACTTATACTTCATTTTTCAATTAAATCTTTTCGTTGGTTCCAATTTAATCAGAAAATTAGTAAACTAACAAAGAATTATCCTGAACTGGTTTGACTCAAATCTTTTCATTCACATACCCCAGCATTGCAGTCCGTTGGCATGCAGCCGAGTGATCTCGGTTAAAAACTAAAACTTACAATATGCTTCTGCATCAATTCTACATCATTGTTGTGTAGAAAATAAAATTAATGCATAAAAGTCATAAATTAACTTGAAATACATATAACTACTCTTCAAACTTAAATTCTTCCGTTGGTTCGAATTTAATTAGAAGATAATCAACATCATTGCAGCGGAAACTTGATAATAAAATACGAGCATTTCTTGGTCTTTGTCTACTCTCTGAAAAATTGACCATATTGGTGTAAAATTTATCAGAGATTTAAACTTTAACCTTAAACTCATTATAATATTGTTATCATCAACGTTGGTCACAAAATAACAATACCATAATTTAACATAAACAAATCGGACTACTCCTCTAATTTAAATTTTTCCGTTGCTTCCAATTTAATTAGAGGATAAACATAATCATAATTTACTGGATAAATATAACTGCTCTTCAAATTAAATTCCCCCGTTGGTTCGAATTTAATTAGAAGATAATAAACATTAAACTTTGCAGCGGAAACATGGAAAAATTCTTTATCTACTTTTCGAAAACATTTTACTGTATTCATCTACTCTCTAAAAAATTATCTCATTGGTTCAAATTTTTACAGAGATTTAAACTAGACCGAATCATCAAAATTTGCTTTTGAAAATAATAAAACAAAAACCCAGTGTTTACTGTTTATTTGGCCCGGCCTGGTGAAATAGTCCACGGCCCATCTCTACCCAGCGGCGGCGCACGCGCATGTTCCCCCACGCATAGGCCACAACTTGGGCCTGGGCCGGGAATCTCCAATCTCGCCTGGGCCGCTTTCGGCCTGATTCGCTCTGAGCCGCCCATCTTGATCCAACGGCCAGGCTCTCTCGTGGTCGGCTCTCTCCTGAACGCTAACGCCATTTCCTCTTCCCCTTTCTGACTCTACGTCGTAGCTCACCAGACACAGAAGCGACGACGACTATAGGCTGCCGGAGAAGAGGAAGTGTGGCGCCGCCGTGGGCCCCCTCGCTAGAGCGCGCGGTCCCCAGTTGAAAGCTCTAGTTTGGTTTTGGTGAATTGATGAAACCCTAAATGCTAACCTAGTTTATCAAGTGATCATGAGATAGGTAGCACACACTCCAAGTGGTGAAGCAAATGAAGATCATTGCATGATGAAGACGATGCCATGGTGATGATCAAGTGCTCGGACTTGGAAAAGAAGAAAGAGAAAAACAAAAAGCTCAAAGCAAAGGTATAAACCATAGGAGCTATTTTATTTTGGTGATCAAGACACTTAGAGAGTGTGATCACATTTATGTTTGATAGTCGTACTATTAAGAGGGATGAAACTCATATCGGAATGCGGTTATCAAAGTACCACTAGATGCTCTAACTCGTTGCATATGCATTTAGGATCTAGTGGAGTGCTAACACCCTTGAAAATGTTTGTGAAAATGCTAACACGTGTGCATAAGGTGATACACTTGGTGGTTGCCATATTTGATCAAGGGTGGTGAAGTTTAGGTGCAAGGGTAAGAAACTCCACCGGCGCCCTAGATAGAAAACACAGAGGTCACTGTGAGTGACCGGACGCTGGCCTCGGTTGGACCAGCGCGTCCGGTCAATAGCAGCAGAGGGCGTGCGTTTTGGTCTCATGACCGGACGCTGGGTCGCTCAGCGATCGAACGCTGGCGGGGTGCGTCCGGTCAGTGCTGACGTATGCTGACGTAGGGTGTACAGAGGAGACGTTGTGTAACCGGACATTGGCTGTGTCCGGTCAAGCATGACCGGACGCGTCCGGTCGGGAAAAATCGCGTTTGAAACCTTACTGGAAACGACCGGACGCTAAGGTCCAGCGTCCGGTCAGCAGCCGACCGTTAAAATCTGATGAACAGTATTTGAAGCAGGGGACACGTGGCATGAATCACGTGACCGGACGCTGAGGGCCAGCGTCCGGTCGATCGGACCGGAGCGTCCGGTCACCCCGCGTTATGCCCAGTGAATATGTACAAATGCTCTATTTCGTGGGGGCTTCTATTTAAGCCCCATGGCCGGCTCAAGCTTACTCTCTTGGCCATTTTCATTGACATAGCAACCTTGTGAGCTTAGCCAAAGCCCTTCCACTCATCTCCATCATTGATTCATCATCATAGTGAGATTGGGAGTGATCAAAGTGCATTGCTTGAGTGATTGCATCTAGAGGCACTTGGTGTTCGTGTTTCGCTGTAGATTTCGCTTGTTACTC